CGAGCTTTCCACACTTTGGGAAATGAGAAATTAAGTTTTCCACCTCTTGAGTATTTAATCGTTGCTTTTTAAAAAACCGGGATGGGGTCTTAATGCCTCTACGTGGCTGCCTGTAAAGTTCGCTCTCAGCTCTAATTTGAGATTTTTAGATCTAGATCCTAAAAACCCCGTCCTGTTCTAAGGCGAGGGTTTGTACCCAGGAAATACCACGGTGCTGCCTGGCGCTCGTGCGAGCCTCTTATCTAAAAAGCCTCAAAAGCAGCGTTTGTTTGGGATGGCTGCGGTGATAAAGTGCCCTTGAACTACAGAGCGAGCACCGCAGAAATCCTCAGCTTTCGTTTCCAACTCTCATTTTGGAGTCATCAACGTGATAAACAGGAGAAAAAAAGATTTGTTCGTATTATTTTTTTTAATTCAGTCCCCCCCCACATACCCTCCGCAGCCGCCCCCGTTGGTGCCGTAGTGCACGCGAGGTTCGCTGGACGCCAGCTTGATCAGCTCGTTCCATTCCTTCTGCCACTCCTCTTCGGTATAAACTAGACCGGACTAGAAAATAGAAAAAAAAAAAAAAAAAAAATTAAAATCCTCAAAGTAAATATTTTCCAATCTATAAAAAAACTGCAGCGCAGTTTTTATACATGCAGCCACCACTTTTCTCTAGGGATTTATGCAAAAATCATCGATAGATTATGCAAAAAAAAAAAAAAAAAGGGGGGCATTTCCCAATCTGTGTTCTCAAGCCAGCCGGGGAGATAATCTGCCTGAAATGAAAGTTTGCTTTTTTGTGGTGTGGAATTAAACGTTCCGACCCACAGAACGAGAGGAAACCTTTACTGTTACACTAAATACGAAAGTATTAAGGATGACACAAGCTACTGACAAGACACAGCGGGACAGATAATTGGAACTAGTTAAAAGACAGAATTTATTTTCCTTCAAAAAAATGACGGAAGACACCACAGCATCTGTAAATATTCAATTCAAGAGTTGCTTTGGTATTTCAGCACAGGGGGAACCTAAATTTTACTCGCATTTCCTTACGCGGTGATTGCAAAAACGTCCATTCTGCAATCGCAGCCTCACCCTCCTCCTCCTCCTCCTCTCCCCGGCTCCACCGTCGGAGCTCCGGCATCCAAACCCAACATCCCAAGTCCTCAAAGCTGCCAAGAAAACCTTCCAGAAGTAACCCGTGGCGCGTTCAGCCTCTCCGTTTGGTCAGGGAGGGATTAATTAAAATTTCTCCGCTCCCGGTTACGTCGTCAACGCGAATTCTTTCATCGCTGGCCCAAAGCTCGCGAAGCAAAGCGCGGGAGGAGAACGTTGCGCTTGGGAGCGGGTTGTGAAATTGGGAGCAGCATCCGTCCCCCTGGGCTGCTGCTTTAGGAGCGTATTTGGAAAGGAGCAGCTCGTAATCCTCGACTTGCAGCCGACCGCTCACGCGGTACCCGTAATTCCTGCGCCACCCGCATCTCCCGCCACGATCCTTCGGCTCGGGCTGAGGACTACGACCAGGACACGACACCGCCGCGTCCCCTACCCTGAGTGTTTTTAATTCCTTTTAACACCTGCAAGTCGCAGGACTTTGTCGACGGCTAATTCTGGAGCGCGCAGTTTAAAGGGATGCATAAAAGCACGCTTTCAATAGCGGTAAAACCTCCGATTATTTATTAACCACTCTGCTTCAAATAGGGAAACACGGTTTTTGGGTTTGGTTTTTTTTTTTTTTTCAAACTGCCAAGATACGAATCTTTGTGCCCTTCCAAAAATAAAGAGGAAGCTGGAGAGTAAACAACATCCTTCAGTGTCAGGTGGAAAAAAAAAAACAAAACCCAAACCCCAAGTTTACCCCGTTCACAAAAACCCCCAAACTATCTCAACCGTCTCTCACGAGGACGTTTAACTTTCCACCTTGACAAAGTCACCCCCCTGCTTTCGGGGGGGAACCCGTGTCACAGCTTTGAAAAGCCCTTTAATGTGGCAACTTCACAAATTTCCTTTTTTGGTGGAAGAGTTTGCTTCACGCTTCGACCGAGGCGCATCTCGCTGATCTTTATCGCTGGAGAGACCTACGCCACAGCGTTGCTTTTCTCTTAAAAACCCAGCACGGCCATCGCGTCCTGCTGGATCTTAAATACCCGGAGGGGACGTCTGTTTTCCCATCAATATCGGACATAAACCGGTTCTAATAAAGATTTTTCCTACCTTGTAATAAAGAGAATTTTGCCGTTGGTTAGATTGAAGGATACGTCTCATCGCGATATCGCGAGCTGGGGAGCGGCCCAGAATTCGAGACAGATTTTATCACGATAGGAAACACCTCCCAGACCCACGGCTTATTTTTATCACGACTTTCCCCTCCGCGAAGATGACGACGTTCGCTCCGGTTCCTACCTCCTTGTTCTGCTGCGTTTGCTGCCAACGCCACCTCCGCTTCAGGGCTTCCCTTTCCACGCCTTTATCCATCAAGGTGTAAAGGGATTTGCGGAGCATGAGATCTCGATCGTGGAAACCCCACATACCTGCACAGGAAAGGGGCGGGGGGAGCGGAAAAAGAAACAGCAGCAGAGGATTAGCAGGAGCTGACGTCGCTCCGTCGATCTGCTGAAGTCCTGCAACCCGCCAGGAATCAGGGGAAGTCGGTAAATTGGGAAATGAGAGGCAGAGAAATGCAAGTTTCTCAATTTAAACAATAAAATTCCAGGTTCGAAGGCTGCGTTTTCCACCAGCAGCCAGTTTTGATGCAGCTGAACGGAGATGCTGCCACCTCCGCTTTCGACTCCAAAGCATCTCACAGGTGCAGGAAAATATTTACGAATAAAATCAGACGCCTCTTTACCACGACATCTGATGGGAAAATGAGACCGGGTTAAATGAGATCGTGGGTCTCGCTGTGTCCGAAATACAAATACGAAGGAAAGACACAGCCTGCTGATTTAACAAGTCTGGAAACCTCAGAAAATTTGCTACGCTCGCATGTGACAAGATGAAGTCACTGGAGAGAAACCTGGGACACTCTGAGGTGCAAGAGGAGGGAAGGGGCGGCTCCGTTATTTCATGTTTCCTTCAGAAATCCCGGGAAATTTGCCAAATGGAAGGGGAGAGGTATTTCAGAAGTACACAAGCTATCAGCAGCCCGGTTCCTTCGACCCATTCCTCTCCCGCACCACGACCGCTCGCACGCTTACTGCCGCGGCGGCCGGGATGAGCAGCAGCATCCCGGTTTCCCGTGGCAACGGATGGAAAACCCTTGGTCCTGCTCCCAAAGGATGGTCCTGAGCTCTCTTCCCAGTGCGGCCGCTTCCCCGGGCTGAGCCGGAGAAGGGAAACGGCATCGGCACGAGGCGCTTTCCCAGGTCTGAAACGAACCGGTTTGTTATTTCGCCCGTCGGGAATTAAATCAAGCTCTTACCCAGGGAGGCGGCATGGAGCAGGCAGTTCCCGTCGCCGGTGGTGGCCAGGGGAAGGAGCCTTTGGCAACTGGGATCCACGTTCGCCCACCAGTTCAGACGACCTGCGAGGATATTTGAGAGTGGAAAAAACGGGGCCCGTTACACGACGTGGGACTGGTGTGTTCATCCCCCCCCCCAAAAAAACCCCACCGATGAGGACGGAAACCTGCTCGATTTGGAGGGGAACACCCGAAGAGATGAGCAGTTCTGGACCCAGCCCGTGGCTGGAGGAAGGAAGGAGCCAAAACGGTAATAAAGCAACAAAAAGGGGAGATTGGAGTTGCAAAACTTCACGGGGACGCGAGGAAACAGCCGGGCTGAACTTAAGGCCACACAAATTAGAATTAAAGCTGGAAATAGGAGCCAGCCCAGCCAGGACTTTAACCCAGACCAACATTCTCCTAATTTTTTTTTTTCTTCCCCGACTACATTACTTATTTCAAAACCCATCAGGCTGAAAAACCCTCCATAAGCGCCCGTCATGAACGGTGCCCAACAACTTTTCCAGTTAATAACCGCTTTTCGGTTCTTCTTGTAACCAAATCACTCCTATTTAAACCATCTGCCGCCGGTCATTTCCCTGCTCCCCGGTGTCGGTACGATACCGAGGGACTTTTTGCTGATCCCAGCAGCTTTACCGACGCAAACGCGAACCGAGAGCGCTTTACGCCACTTAAAAATAGCAGCTTTTTGGTAATATAAGGCACTTGTAGTAATTCAAGTCAAGAGCAGCTAAAAATAGAAGCTAGGAAAAAATTAACACGCGCGTTGCAGTCAAGTACAGCGCGATGGGAGGTTAAACATTTATCAAGGAAACGAAGTCGGGCTGAATTAGGACTTTGAACTTAGAACCCAGCCTGCGTCTGACTCTGCTATGCCCTCAAAAACAGGCGCTGCCTCCCTCGGCTGCAGCTTTTTCCGGCAGCTTTTGTGCGGTGGATTCCGTGCAACGGGCAGATTTTTTGGCTGGGAGATGCCATTCAGGCTTCTGAAAAGTTGCATTTAAATTGCTTTTGCAAAAAAAAAAAAAAAAAAATCCCCCAAAACAGCCCTTTCCCAGCATTTCTAACGAACCTCTCCCTGCTCCCGAGCACGGTCCCCGCCAGGGACCCCGACTCTCAAACACAGGATTTCTTGAAATTGTTTGCACAACCTCGGCGACAGCAGCTGTAGGAGAACTAAATACAGAAAACTGGTTTTTAAACACAGATAAACACAGGAAAAACAGAAAAACGCAGAGCTAACGGCAACGCCAAGCGGGGAATTTCTTTTCTCAACGTCGGGAAAGGAACCCGTTGGGAGTTGAAAAGCGTTTAGTACACAGCCTGGGGACAATAGCTCCGCTCGGAAAAGCCGGCTATTTTCACTCGATATAGCTCCTGGCACGGCGACGTCGCGAGCCCGCGCCAAGTGGCACGGGGCCAGAGGAGCGAACCGAGAGGCAAAACGGCGTCTCACAAAAGCTAACCAAAAAGTAACGCTACCGTAGGCAGCCCTGCTGCCTATTTTTTTTTTTAAATTATTCATCCGTTTCACGTCGTTCCTGGAGAATTTGCTGCTCTTTTCGACGGCCAGGACCGGGGTTCGGCGGTGTTTGCATCTCCGGTCGGCACGTCGGAGGTTGCGCAAACTCTCGTCGAAGGTCGGAGGTTGTGCAACCGCTCGTCGAGCCAAGTCGGGTCCGATTCGGAGGGGACACACCTTGGGGAGGCATTTCTACTCGCAGCCTGCGGTCACGCCGTGCCGTGCACGGCCCCGGTGAGGCAGGCAGAGTAATTTGCACAGATTTTCAGTTACGCAAGAGAAGTCACCTCGGGAAAAAAAAAAACCAAAAACCGCATTCCCCAAACCCTTCGCTGAACGTTTTGCTCGTATCAAGGCAGTGGAAAGGCCAAGAGGCCCCCTGGAATATTTAAAACAAGGTATTTCTCTGCTCGGGGTTATGAGGAGCGAGCCCTGATAGCTCTACGAGAAAGATAACTGGATTCAAGAGCGCAAGGGATCTTCCCGCTGGTCAGCGACAGCTCTTCTGTGCGTCTGAAGAAGCCCACCGGCATCGAGAGCCTTCCTCCGCATCCAGTGCCACAGCTCTCGCAGGGTCCGGCTTCACCCCGTGGCTGGTTTCGCTCCGGAACATCTGTTTGTCCCAGCAGAGACCAGGGACCCGCACACAAAAGGCGTACATTTTGCAAAATCCCATCGTTTCTTCTACCGGGATCCGTCGAACCAGGTCACGGCAATAGGAAGGACCGCGCCCCCCCGCCCCAAGACGAGGACTGACTCATCCAAAAACCAAACGGCTCCCCCTAAGGCTACCGGGGAATCCGGTGCCGTAATTACAAGGCTGTCGTCTCTGCGTGACGAAGGTAACGTTCCCGGGGGTGACTCGACCTCGTGCTCCTCGAGGCCGACGTGACGCATCCGACACGAACGCCCACCGGCACCTCTGCGCAGTAACTGCAGACCGCTGGGGGATCCCCCCACCGCTGAATCACCGTGAGGGAGCAGGATCTCCACCTAGAAGTGGGTTAAAAAGAGACCAAAAAAAAAAAGGGAGAGCAGCTAGAAAAAGCGGAACCTACGCTCGAAGCGAGCTCGTTTCATCCGTCTGAATTGAGATAGTTCATCCACAGCCTCTTCTGCCAAAACGACGCAACCCACGGCGACGCGCGTCTTGCCGAGAGCTGGGCCATCCTCCTCCCGGCCTCGCCGCCGAGGATGACACATAGTTCATTCACAGCCTCTTCTGCCGAAACGACGCAACCCACGGCGACGCGCGTCTCGCCGAGAGCTTGGCCGTCCTCCTCCCGGCCTCGCCGCCGAGGATGACAGCGGAGGGGCTGAAGGCATCGCAGCAGTGGTCCGGCACCCAAATTCCCAGAAGGTTCCACCTGTCTTTTGAAGCGAGGTGGACCCAGACGTGAGCTCGCCTCTCCCGCTAAGGAAACCAGTCCGGACAGTGACTTACGGGTGAAAATATTTGCAAGTCGGATGCCAGGTAGGTAAGACAGAGCGGGGGGTACGCGTGCACATGCGTCTCTGACCACGCACGGGCTGAAAAGCTTCTCAAAACCCGGGTGATGCATTACGAGACACCCATTTCTTCGAGTGCCCGCTCCGAGACGCGGGATATTTACGCCCCAAGAATGAGGAACCCCTTTGCCGCTCCTTCGATGCCGTTCCCGCAGCAAAGCGAGCACACCGCTCTCTTAACTCGGCCGTTTTTAATGGTCCGCCTGCAGACTTTTATCAAATCTCGGTCTGAAGCGCGAAGCGGGAGGTTTCTCGCCGGTTTTCGAAGGGGATTTTCGAAGGCGTGCTTGGCACCGTGTGACCCGGGGAGAAAGCCTGACCCTGAGCCGAGGCAAAGCCACCAAACACAGGGCTTTCGTTCGGTCCTTCCCGATTTAGTTATTTTTTAAACGGCCTCGGGCAAGGCACCGCCAAGTGCTCCTCCATTTCTGCAAGGAGGAAAAAAAAACCCACTCCGCAAGCTTCAAAATACTGGGCAAGGCTTCATCCGTTCAGGTTGGTAACAAGGAACGCAGAGGTTGCGGCAAGGGCCAAGTTTTCAGCTCCACCAAGACCTTTTCATACGACTCTGAGCGCACTAAAAGCTTTCCAAGAGGATGTCGTTACAATTTACGGCCACTCTAAAGCGCGCTTACTCCGCCGCAGCAGTGTAAAGGGATCTCTGGATAGAAGAACAGTATCTGAACGTTTATTGGTCTACAAAACATTTGCTTAATCCCCTAAGGACGGTGCGTACTAAATTAATAACGGGAGTCACCGCAGATCACAGCGCCACGCTCAAAACCCTACTTCGAATTAAGCCGGGAATATTTTATATACGCGGTTGGGTCCTTTATTAAAGATAAACACCCATTTATAAGGAACCCACGTACACATTGCAGGTATGTTTTAGCTTTCAAAAGGCACTTCGAGCCCGCACGGCCGCACGCCGGCGCGTTTTATTTGCGTTCCGCACCACAGCTTCGCCATCGATGGACCGCGCCGCCGCTGTAACGAGATCGCTTGGATCGAGCGCTCGTTTCCAAACCACGAGGATATTTATTACAGGAACGCGCGAGCAGGAAAGCGCTAAAATTTGACATTACGCATATACCTTATCTCGGAAGGAATAGTTTTTTAGGCGACGGAAACGAGGTGTAAAAGCTCCTGCGTAGTTCTTCTCTGCCAGCACGGAGGTCCCATTCATTCACCAGCTAAATCTTATTTACGGATCACCTAGCAACTATCCAGGAGGAAAACCGCACCTCGGAAAACAAATCCATCTGCCCTCGGAAGGCGGTTCCTCGCCAGGCAGACAGAAAACCAGGAGACGAGTTTTCCCCGCGTTGAAGCGGCATATAAAACGCATCGTCGATCTAAAATGTAATCGCTTCTAAGATTTGTCAAGGGGGGGGATGAGCTACTCTTTTGTGTTACGCGGGAATTTCTTTTTTCCCCTTCGCTCAGTAAAGCCGACGGGATGGCGTAGGGAAGCTCAGGTGTGGAAAGAATGCAACTTTTTTTTTTTCCTCGAGCGTTACCATTCAAGAGTGTTACCATTCAGCTGCACGAGGAATGACGACACCCACGATTTATTTACATTCGGCGTCTGCAGGCGAAGCGCAGCAGACTCTTACTCAACTCTCGCTATAAAAAGCGACGAAATAAATACCTATCGGCTACGCGTCCTCGCAACGGGCTCGCTCCTCTGCGGCCTCAGGTCGGTACCGCTGCAAAATGCCACCGAATTAGCGTTGAAAAAAAAGAAAAAAAGAAGAAAAAATAAGCACTGACCGGCTTGCTCCAGCGCCACCAGCATCGACTGCTCGATGAGGTCTCGCTCGATGAAGCTGCGGAAGTCTTCGGTGTACACGGTGAGGTCGGGCAGCTGGAAGGTGCAGATGGGCATCTCCAGCAGATGTTCGCTGCTGCCGTTGCTGGAGACGTGGGAACGGGCCAGGGAGACGATGGTGGAGCTGGCGTGGGAAATGCCTCGAGACAGGCGTTTTTCTGGGAATAAAGGGAAGACGAAAAGCCACCTGAAGGGCGCGGCAAACCTCGCGGAAACGAGTAATTTTTGGTTGCGAGCGGAACGAATCGCTCTAGCGTATAAACGTTTCGGGCACCAGAATGAAGATTTAATTGATCCGTATCGGTTTTGTGGCACTCACCTTGCACGATATCATCCTGCCGCTGAAGTGGTGGTCGCCCGGGACGGGCTGCCTCTTTTTCCGGGGGTTTATAGTTGCGTCCTTCGTTGAAGGAATGGGGTAGGTTGCCGGCGTGCACTTGCCGTAGTTGTTCAAAGTCACTCAGGGCTGCGCTCAGATCCCAGTTCTTGCCTGGATGGGAAGGGATCAACAGCGGTCACCATCGCACCAGAAAGAAATCAAGTCAAATTCTTAAAACATCCGCGCTGGAAACTAATAATATCGTTTATGGCGAGGCAGAAACAAGGAGGAAAGCAGGGTGCGGCACCGCTCGCTCGGCCGGTCGCTCTGTTTTATAGAGTCCTTTGGGTTGGAAAAGACCTTTAAGATCATCAAGTCCAACTGTTAAATATATATTTCATATATTTCGCTGTTACGTCACCATAACGGCAAACGCTGAGCGCAGAGCATGGGACTGGAGTAAAATAAACGTAATTTCACCCTTCGGAAAGGGAAATGGAAGGTCAGGCTGGGTCGTGTCCACCAGCATCTACATAAACCCAACGGCCGCTTGCTCCAGGTGACACCGAGAGCTTTTGTTTTGTTTTTTTTTTTTTAAAAAATCTATTTTATTTTCTAACTCTCCAACCACCGCGAAGATAACCCAGCGCTGCAGGCACCACTTCTTCGCTGACGAAGAAGCCTCCGGCTCCAGCGAGGATAACGCTCGAGCGAAAACACGCAACTTTAAATGCCGATGATCCGCAAGGTGACTTTTTAAATCTCTGCACGCATAAAAAGACAATTCTTTTTGAGCTGACACCCAAAATACAGACACAAGGGAGGTGCCGGCCGCTATCCAGAAGACTTTGCTGTTATTACTGGCCAGATAAATTATTCAGCAAAACAGCTTGAACTTTGTGGAGCTGAGCGCTTTCATTTCCTTTTAACGCTACCCAGCAAGCTGCAAGAATATAATCTATATTAACAGGCTGAAGTCTTTCAACGTGCAATAAATTCACCTTTTAGGAGCCCGCTGGCTTCCAAAGGGAAGAATACATAGGAAAAATAATTTTAAAAAGTGTGCGGTGTGGCTTGCATTTGGGAAAATGGTGATTTTTTTTTTTTTTTATGAAGGCTGTTAATCTAGGCTCTTAAATTAGCGACTTAGCAGACACTGTAGAAAGCAAGCCAACTTTATATATAGTAACTCCACTACAGGAAAGATATAAACCGCCAACTGGTTTATATGACAGCTCACGGACAATAAAAGAAGCCATTACGTCTAATTCCCCAAAGGAAACGCGCTCCTCAAGTATTTAAATTCTTTTGAGAGGTGTCATTTGCAGCATTTAATGACTGACTCCGAACGGAAAGTTATTTTAAGCTTCACCTTTTGAGTCAAGGGGATATATATTTTTTGATTTTTATTTTTTTTAAATGAAATAATGAATCAGCATCAAGGAATGAGCATGACCCATCAGATTAAAATTAAATTTGCTGTCGCATGGCTGTTTGCTTTAACATGTCAGCAAGAGGATGACACATCAGCGACGCTGCATTTCCCAACCAGCTTCACCAGCAGCTGCTTTAGGAATTGAAAAATCCTCCCCCGATTCTGTAGCTTCGCGCACGTTTGTACACCGCGATCCCGCGCCGTCGAGGCGATGGGTTTCCAACCGTGCTGGAGAAGACCACCAGACCGCGACTTCGCTTGACACACGCACGAAACTCAAAGCACAGAAGGAAAATCTGACTTGAAATTGCTCGTATGGCCCTCAAATGGAACAATTCACTTTATACATCTATTTTATCTGACTGCTTTCACTACTACCCACCCAAAAAAGAAAAGAAAAAGCTCTGTGTCTTCCCTCGTTTCCACCCCTGGAGTTGTCAGCTCCACCGAGGCTGCAGGAAAAACAGCAGCACGTCGTGAAAACGAGCTAAAACTATCGTCAAAATAAATCAACCCGTGCGCCGAGCGGGAGACGGAGAAGTGGAAGGAACACCTGCTTTAACCTTTTCTGTCACAAGCCTAAATATTTCTTCCGAAAGATAATATTAGAAATCCTGACATGAAACAAAGCAACCTAAACCCTGAAACCAGAACATAAACACACCACAAAACCCACAACTTGCCAGACTTCCGTCGAGATGACGCTCGGCTATAAAAAAAAATAAAAAATAAAAAAAAATTAAAGGCTGAAGCCCTGAACCCAGCAAAAGCGAACGGGAGTTTCGAAGAGGGAAAAAAAGAAAAATAAAAAAAAAGCAAGAAAGAAAAAAAAAAAAGCTACGAATCAACACTGCGAGCCTCAAGCCGAGGAGGAGAACTGTAGCCAAGTAGGTGGAGAAAATTGCCTAAAGACACGGATTATAGCAAGAATTTCAGGGCTTTGAATTCATTACGGTTACAGCAGCCAGTGCAGACACTGGAGGAGCATCAACCAGTCCCGGGTTCAAGCGGCAACAAAAACGACCGGTATTGTACATAAAAACAGAAAAAGGGACGATAGGAAGAAACACAGCAAGTACGGTCTCGCGTGATAATTACAGATTGGTTAATTATGTACAAACGGCCCCGCTTCTCCTGCGATCTTTCTGTCCTCCAGCATTACAGCACGTGCCGGTATTTCCTCACCGTCCTTTTGTCAACGGTAAGCCAAAGGCGATGCGAGCGAGCGAGTCTACAGCCCCCAAAACTCTCCTCTACCCCATCGCTGTAAGCGCAGGGTGGAAAAAAAAAAAAAAATAAAAATTACCTGCAGCCTTCAACTAAAGGCGATTGCTAACGAGCGACTTCTCCATCTTACGGAGTTTTTGAGAAAGCCGACGGAACGGTGTGTTTTAGGGCAAATATAGGCACTTAAATAAAAAATAGGTAGAGCGCTGGGAAGGTGCCGGCACGGCGTGCCGAGGCTCTCGAGGGCTGGCTTGCCCGTTTCAAAGCGAAGCGACTGAAGGCAGACGATGCTGGGATTCAGCTCCCGAGCATCCTAAGCATCTCCGGCACCTTAAACCACCTGATCCTGTTCCGTAGGAGCCTCCCGCGTCGGGCGTAAATGGGGCTCCACGGGGATGCTCTGCCAGGAGAGGTCACCGGCACCGACAAAACAGCAATTTATATCGGTATCATCAAACCACCTTCACAAGCAGAACGAGATATACCAGTAAAAGCACGGTTTTGCCTATATAATTACCCCCCCTATTGCTTTCAAAACACAGGTGGAAGGCGATTCCTTCAATCCCTTTTGAAGGCATCGCTGCTATAACGAAAACAGAAAAAAAAAATCCTGAAGTTTTGCTGCTCGCGGCGAACGGAGAGGACGAACGAAGGGAAACCGCGCTCCTGGCTGACCCGTTCTCCTTCTGAACGTTTGAAATTCATCACCCGATGGATGCGTAACAAGAAACCAAGGCAGAATTTCACCAGCCGCCGTCGCCAAGGGCACGATTTTGATATTTCCAGCGTCGCGCTCGCCAACCACCAGCCCCGGGGGTCTGGCCAAGCAGCTCCCTACCCCTCTCGCAACCCCTTTTTTCCCCACCAGCCCCCTGTCAGACGCCACCGGTCTCATCATCCTTTCTTTTTTTTTTTTTTTAATTTTTTCCCCCCAATTTTATTTACCTTCGAGCAGATCTCTGGCCAGTCCCGGCTCTGCCCCCGTTGAGCGAACAAAATCCGACAGGACGATGTCCATAGCCGAGGTCGTGCGCTCATGGATTCTTCCTGGCGGCTGGGGTTGGCGGCGCGCGGATCAGCACCTCGGCATCAATCTAGGAACGAGAGCAACAACGCGAGCGGCTCCCACTTCAAAGAAACAAAAA